ACCCCAACCTCCCTCCAGCCGGAATTTGGCGAAAGGTTGCCTGTAATAGGAGGAGTACTTATAACAGTGCCCTAACTAGATGTGGTGGATCGAGCGAGAAGCGAGAGAGAGAGAGAGAGAGAGAGAGAGAGAGAGAGAGAGAGGAAGGAAGTCGCCTTACTTTGAAATTGTAAATTCACAATTTTCAGCAAAAGTTTTACACGAAAATGAACTACTACTATACGGACAGTTTGAGTCTTAGTTCCTGCATTTCTATCTCTTCACACGTAAGATAGCGCGTCAGGAATGGCAATACAGAATCTCGGTATGCCGATATACGACAAGAGATAAGTCGGAGGCCGCGGCACATCGGGCGGGAAGACTTCGCAGAAATTAGTTCAGAATGCAAAGGATGGGCAACTCCATCCAGAATTTGGCCGGCAAGTTGCGTCACCTTTTTGAGATGTTGTTGTAGGATAATACCGACTAAAAAGGCCGGCTGCCTGCACGTGGTCAATGTCAGACATCAGGATGACTCCAAGTTTGGGTGAACTCAATCGCTCATTTTTGCTTCTTAACACTTTGTACCTACGTGCCGGGGGGGGGGGGGGAGGAGAGGAGAGGGGGTTAGATAAACAAGAGTCTGCTTTATTTTGAAATTATGAATTCGAAATTTTCGGCAAAAAATGGGCTCCATTCACTGTGGGCAGAAAATAGGTTAGTAAGATGTGGTTATGCGGCCGCACCTGATGGACGCAATACTGTTAGGGGTTAGGGTTAGAGATGAGGGTTAGGGCAACTATTTATCAGCCACTCAAAGTACAACCGCGCATTGCCAATAGCCTACCTTCGCATAGAGTTACTTGACCTCGTCACCTGTGCGTTCTCTGTCCCCACCTGTAAAAACCTCTATCACCACCGACCCCGTATTACAGGCGGCCGGGATTTGTTTACCTCAGGTGCGGCTATATAATCACATCTGACCAACAAGTTAATAAATCACTCAAGGACGACTATTATGGGGACAGTTCAAGTCTTAGCTTCTGTATTTCTGTCTCTTCACACATAAGATAGCGCGCCAGGAATGGCAGTACAGAATGTTGATATGCCGATGTACGACGAGAGATAAGTCGAAAGCCATCCGGGATTTGACCAGAAAATTGCTTCATCGTTTTGAAATGTTGATGTAGGATAATATCGACTAAGCAGAGATAAGAAACACCGGCAGCAGGAGAGAGCATACGGAGGACCCGTGTTAAAATTAACAGATCTTTTTTGAGCAAAGCAGGAAGAATGACAGGAGAGCAGTATAGGATAAGAGGAAGAATGTAGACATAAATGAACGCCAGATTAAGGGTTGAGGTGTGTTGTTGGCACCCAGTATGGAGGGAAAACGAAAGATTTTATGACAAAGTAACGACAATTTACCTGAAGAAGGATACCTCGTTAGGAATGATGTCAAAGGACTCAGCACTGGGAGAGGGCCGCAGTCGAAAAATACACTGAACTGATTTTTGGTTGTTCATTAGGATAACATTTTCCTGCCACCATACTGAGACATGGTCATGGTCATCCATCAGAGACTGGAGGTGTGTCTGACTCTTGAGAGGGTGTCCAAAAACCACATCATCAGCATACTTAACCATAAGACAGTCGTAAGGGGATCTTAGATCGTCGATGTGGAGGGAGAAAGGGTAAGGGGATAGAATGAAACCTTAAAGAACTCCGCAGTCATTGGGAAGGACCGTAAATTTCAGCTTGCCAGATTGGAAAAATTGAGTGTGCGAAGTAAAATAGTCGCCAAGCCAAGCGACGAACCCAGCCTGGAGAGCCGCACGCGGATGCTTTGGCAAGGAGAGGAGGGCGCGAGACGGTATTGAAGGCGCAAGATTAGTCAAGAAAAGCACATGCGTACTCGCGGCAACCCTTATCTAATTCTTTTAGAGCAGAGTGGACCACTAGGGCAACAGTATTTAAAGTGCTACGTTTGGCTTTGTATGCAAATTGCAAAGGATCGGAAAAACTGGGAGAATGACTTTATAATGTATAGGGCAGCTCGTTTTGCAAGCTCTGGCAGTGCAGTTAAAGTCCGAAAATCCTCAAAATGTGTGTCGCCGAGGTTGATTGGGGACGACCACCCTCGAACCCTGAAGTTACAGGAAGGCATCCAGGCACGCAGTCATCGGTTGACGGGCTGCAGCGTAATATGGCATGAGAACCCCATGGAGACTGGCTGGATGTGCTGGGATCCAATGGCGCGGAGGCCAATTTCTTACTCAACAATAGGAGTTCCAGAACTCTGAGATCGCGAGTCCAAATTCACAATCACTCTAGCACAACATTTTCCCTACTGATCGTACAAGCTAGGCTAACTAATTCCTGCCGCCTACATTCCATGGAGGTAGACGAGGTACAACTCAACTGGTATTGGAGAGCGCCTATCTTTTAAGAGGTTGTGGGTACAGCCATCATCGGTAGGGCACAATTATGAGTACCCCCCATCATAGGCGGTCTTGCGTTAAATTCCAGGAAAGGAAGGGGGGGTAAGTCTTCGGGTAAAGGTTAGATTTAGAGTCAGAGTTAGGACAGTGGAATAGATGTATCACAGAAGCCTAGGCCGCGAGTGAGATCCTGGCTATCACGACCTTCGGACTCGGTCTCGAATGGAAAGAGAGGGTGGACGCCAGTTGGGAGGACGGTGTATTCTGCACAGAGTAACCGAAGACGTGGGGTGGAGAGAGTTATCAGTTGGACAAGGACACGTCCGGCACCGGGAGGGCGATATCCTCAGTGCTCCCCTCCCCCCCCCCTCCAGGGAATGAGTCAAAGCGTCTTAAGCCAGGGCACGCCCGACTCGGCCTTGAATCCGATTGGTCAGTCTGAAGGTCGAGTGGGCGAATGTCAGACGGCCGCAGTGTGCACGTGCAGACACACGCGGGAGGCCCAGAGTTGAGACAGGCGCTCGGAATAGGGTCACTACAGCTCCCCGCGTCCTGGAAATTAGCACAAGGCCACCTATAGTTCGGGGAGTGCTTATGCCGGTGTCCAGTCGTCATCTTCATTCGAGTAATATGGAGTATGGGTGTACCATCTAAGTACAAGAACGCATTCTACGAATGGGTTGGGCTGTATAAGTGTCGAATCTAACGCGGCTGTACACATGAGATGGTCATCACTGATTCCGCGGAGACATCACCAAGAAACTTCCCCCCGATTCTTGTTTAATTGCGCTACTCTTGTGTCCCGAAATTAGCGCACGCAGAGAAACAACTGTGCCTCATTTCAAGGACGAAATCTCGACAAATAGCAAAGACGGGTACAGAAATTATGCTTGCCACTAAAAGCGTGCTTTAACACATCTCGTTTCAATACAGCGCACTTCCACCTCTTGACGCTATCACTTCACCAGTCCTCCGCCGTATGAGATGGACTAACTGATTGATACATTTGATGGGGGTGTTGTCCAGGCCTGGGCCAAAATAGTTATCAGATTCCAGCGTGCTTGCCTGGCAACGTTGTTATACTGCATCACAAAGTTTTCTTATCCTGCCGTGATCGATAAGAAGTATTTGCTCAGCATCCAAAGTAATCTTTACGGTAACGGTATAGAGAGGAACCCCACTTAACTGTCAGTAGACTGTGGATCGTGTCATGTGGGGTTTTATATTGGCATACATTTGCAGGCTGTTGCAGAAATCACACTGTCAATAGCGATTACTTCTCACGACCTCACATCTTAACTCATAATCCATTGTTTTGGGAAATTTACTTTTGCTTATTATTTAATTACTACTGAAGGCGAAATTTCGAGTTCCAGGTGTACGCATATTTGAAAAAGAAGAAGAAGAAGAAGAAGAAGAAGAAGAAGAAGAAGAAGAAGAAGAAGAAGAAGAGGAAGAAGAGGAAGAGGAAGAAAAAGAAGAAGAGGAAGAAGAAGAGGGAGAAGAAGAAGAAGAACAGGAGGAGGAGGAAGAAGAAGAAGAGTCGAGCACCGGAACACTTCGTTTATTATCCTGAGCTTTCTGACTCGTACAGGAGTCCATCGTCAGAGGTAGTGGCAGAAACAGGACAAGCGACAGTTATAAGGCACGTAGGCCCAATCATCGACCGACGTCGCACGACTGGAGGTGACTACGAAGGGCTCTGTACGCCGGCGCCAGATCGATAAATCGATTGACCGAGTTCTCATCCGAGGCCCAGGCTTCAATCAATTCTCGGCCTGTTTTGTTTCCGGCGTGGGCCACTATTTTGGTAGCTGCGAAGCCAAACTCGTGACCCATTTCGTAGGTGTGGGCGGCCACTTGTGATAATGCGTCGTCTCGCCGCACAACCAGTTTATGTTCGTGTATGCGCGATCCGAGCATGCGTCCAGTCTGTCCTGTGTAGTTACAAGGACAATTTTGACACGGGATGCGATACACTACTCCAGATTGCTCTTCAGGTTTTAACCGGTCTTTGATTTTCATGACCCTGTTGCGCATGGTGGCTTTGGGGCGGTGTGCAATTCCAACCCCTAGCTCCGCAGCAATGCGCTCGGTTGCCTCTGAAACACCCTTGATGTATGGCAGAGAATGCCACATCGTCGGTGGTGTTGATGTTCGAGTTCTCTGGTGGCGACCGCGGAGGCAGCGACTTATGAATGCCTTCGGATAGCCATTTTGCACAAACTGGTCGCGGAGATAACAGGCCTCACGTGCTCTGTCCTCCGGTTTGCTGCAACGAGTTTGGATCCGTTTGAAGAGCGTCTTCACGCAGCTTCGTTTGTGAGCCACCGGATGGTTGCTGTGAAAACTGAGAAGCTGTGTGGTGTTCGTTGCCTTCCTATAAACCGTCGTTTCAAGTTCACCGTTAAGGTTTCATCTGACGAGCACATCCAGGAAGGGCAACTGCTGTTCCTGTTCTTCTTCCCTCGTGAATTTTATATCCGGGAAGACTGCGTTGAGCAGGCTGCGGAAATGTTGCCGCATGTCCTTCTTTACGATGACGAACTTGTCGTCAACGTAACGTCGCCAAAACACCGGTTAATGTTGGAGGAAGGCAATCTTTTCTAACTCCTGTAGGACCAGTTCTGCCACCAAACCGGAGACCGGTGAGCCCATTGGGGCTACCTTGATTTGTTCATAGGTCTCTCCCGCAAAAGTGAAGAAAGTTTGTTGGCAGAGTTCAAACAGCCTCATTAGGTGTTCAATTTTGAGGGCATTTTGAGTCTCATCGTACGCCTCTTCAAGTCTCTTGCGCAAGAATTCGCGGGCCACGTTTGGTGAGATGGATGTGAATAACGACGTCACATCGAAGGAGACCATGATTTCGTCTGATTGAATTCTCCGACCTCAGAGGTCTATGAGGAATTGAGAGGCTGATCGAACTGAGGTAGTCGAATTGCCTTGGAGGAACTTCAATTTTTCAGGATAATAAACGAAGTGTTCCGGTGCTCGACTCTTCTTCTTCTTCTTTTTCTTTAATTACTACTCTCAATTTCGTTGTCGTACAATAGCGTAGGATAAGGCTTTCGGCATAAATCCAGGCAATTTCTGTGTTTCCTTTTATTTTGTCAGCTTATTGTCTAGCGTGCTGCCCCACTCATAAAACTCCATTTACCATAAATCACGTATGACACGATCCGCAGTCTACTGACAGTTAAGTGGGGTTCCTCTCTATACCGTTGCCTTCTTCACTATCAACGCTTCGATGAGGAATCATAAGTTCCCTCTTTGGCGTTCATTCATAGTGTTCGTAGCTAGTGCACTGACCCTCTATCATCCCAAGCAAGAGGATCAGAGAATCTCCTTGCGGAGTTTCCGTCATTTAATCACAAAAACGTGCATTTGCTTGTTTCGAACTGCATCGCGATTCATCGGTCCGTATTACGCCGCTCTACTAATTAATGCGCAATAAGCAACATAACATCGAGGTCGAAATCATTTACTGGTCCACCATGCGTTAGCAAGGGTGCTAACGACTGACACAGTTTTTGTAGTCGGATGTGCCTGGGCTAGTAGCCGTAGCCCTCAGAAAACGTGTACTTTTCCGCGAGATGTCTTTTTTGCCCGACCATTCCCACAAGCCCGTTCACAGTCACCAATCTCGCCGCACGGACCAACTCATCTTGCCAAGGTTATATCGACCTGCGATTTGCAGACCGTTGAGAACTTGGACACCCAACTCTCCACATTGCGATGGCCTGTCGAGCTCATTAGCATTCACCTGGCACGGTTCATCTGCACCAGTCAGTGTGGTCTGGATGTTAATGCGGAGTTTCTGGTTTGCAGTTGACTCATTCTTAGTTGCTACTGCCTCAGATCCGGAAGAAAGTTAGTTGCAGCATGGAGGCTTGGGGCGAACGAATGAGCGCGACAGATTGACTGGGCCTTTTGTGAGGGGCAAAAGAGGTGGCTGTTTTCAGGCTGTATGCGTACTTTGACGTGTGCAACTTTTGCCCCGTCTTTCCCATGGCAAGACTGCTGTAGTTTATTTAATTTGATATGCACCCCGATGCCCTCACCCTCCCTCTGTTTCTGTGAGAGCGGAAGCAGGAACAAAGTTCCCATGTGATTGATAGGCATGAGGAGAAGGCAATCGCATCAGTCTAAATACCGTTACTGTGTGTACAACGTTCTTTTGAGCACTTTCCCACCCTACGTCAGTCGGAGGAGTAGGCGCAGCCTTGTTTTATTACATTTGATGTAGTTGTGAAAAAAATCGGCGGATTCAGTGGGATTCGAAGCCACGGCAGCAAGGGCAGGCTTTCTAGCAGAGTTTTTACACAGCTGGGTCAGATGCATTACTGGAATTCGCCAACGCGAAAAGTAGAAGGGGACGACAGGCCGAAACTCAAGAAGGACCACCGGCATTGGGCTGAAAAAGGTAGGCACGGCAACAAAGAAACAAGGCTGCCAACGGAACACCCACCGCAACGCACATCAACACCATGCCAAGGTAATCACACCAACGAAAAATGATTAAGTAGGTCAACAGTATTGTGTCCATCAGGTACGGCTACATAACCACATCTTACCAAACGGGCATAGAACAGCCCACTCGAATAGGTCAATAAATTACGCAGTCATACATCAGGACGGTCGCAGAAAGTTAAAATATGACTGAATTCAGAGAAACTGGTCTTCATCCCCTTAAAGCCTTTTTGTTTCCTAATTTAGGAGGAGACACCACACTGGATCTTAGATCCCAACACCTAGATGGTTCCTTGTGCCGGCTTCAGAAAGCCGTTCTTCCAACAAACAGACAGGTGTCAGTGCGGCGGTTCTGAGATTAGCTGTGGTTATGTAGCCGCACCTGAAGTAAACAAACCCGAGTCACCTCTAATACGGGACCTGTGGTAATAGGGGTTTTTGCAGGCGGGGCCGGGGAACGCACAGGCGACGAGGTTGAGTAGTTGTATGCAAAAGAAAAGCTATTGGGAATGCGCGGTAGCACTTTGAGTGGTTGAGAAGTAGTTGCCCTAACTCTTAGCCCTAACGCTAATCCTAACCTTTGGCCGCAGTCCTGAACCCTAACCTTAAAAAACCCAACGCGAAAGTGAGAAGGAGACGACAGGCCGAAAGTCAAGAAGGACCACCGGCATTGGACCAAAAAAAGGTAGACACGGCAACAAAGAAACAAGGTTGCCAACAGAACACCCACCGCAACGCACAGCAACACCATGCGAACGTAATCACACCAACTCCAAATAATTAAGTAGGTCAACAGTATTGTGCCCATCAGGTACGGCTACATAACCACATCTTACAAAACGGACATATAACAGCGCACTCGAATAGATCAAGAAAATATGCACGATAATGACTTTAAGGGCTGCGTTTTAGGTTGGGTTAAGCCAAAGGGAATGGCATGCGACCTTTCAGACCGCTCCAGGTAGGACTGAGGGGCACAGATAAAGCTCTTTGAAGGGTAATTATCCCCTAAGGGTGAGAATCAACATGATTCCAGAATCGTAGCCGGGTCTGTTGTACAGGGTGAACTCAGTGGTGCCTTTCCTCGGCATTGTCAGATTTCTGGGCGAAAGGCTTCTGTCTCACGTGGATGTCCTAGTCCCGGCGCGTTCTGAGCAGGATCGCTGTCGATCGAGGAGTGCTAACTCGGGTTTTTGTTTCCACCGGCTGAGAATGCGCTGAGAGAAGGTTCAAGGCCACGCGGAGGTAAAATTTCCAAGTAACATAAATGGAGGAAAGAACCGTTCCCCTTTTATGCTAAAAAAACTGTGCTACCATTCTAGGCGCCACTTCAGGGTAGAGGTTCGGTCGCTGATATCCAACCGAGTCAAAATGGCCCTGCCATGCATCCTGGACGTATTTAAGTAAGTAAATGGTTGCAACAGAAGATATTATGTAGTCATCCTCATTCCGGACATCGAAATTTGCCAATTGCCAATCAAATCAGTCCCACCCCTATTGCATTTTCGATGAAGGGGACGACAAATTCGTATTATCATGACCTGAAATCGTGGAGTTAGGCGCGAGATTCAACGGTATCGTGCGTAGGACGCAGTCCCCCTTCGGAGACCAGACTAGCTACCTCCTGCAGATGCTCGAGGCTACGGCATTTATGCTAGTCCAGCGCCTGTTTCCTCGACAGTGTGGGAATTAGCTAACAGCCGTAAGCCAACTGATGAGTTTAAAAAAAACAGGGAAGCCAGTCGGGCGGGTCGCCTCAGCTGCTGATTGCAGACTACCGCAAACGTGGTATGTCCAGTCACCCCTACAAGGATATCAAGGTCGCAGGGGGAGGTGGCAGTCATACATCAGGACGGTCGCAGAAAGTTAAAATATGACTGAATTCAGAGAAACTGGTCTTCATCCCCTTAAAGCCTTTTTGTTTCCTAATTTAGGAGGAGACACCACACTGGATCTTAGATCCCAACACCTAGATTGTTCCTTGTGCCGGCTTCAGAAAGCCGTTCTTCCAACAAACAGACAGGTGTCAGTGCGGCGGTTCTGAGATTAGCGACCAGTCGGCCGTGCTTCTAAATTTGCACCCATTACGACAAGCAAACCAAACTTCCACTGGTTCGCATGACTAGCAAATCGATATTCAAATTAGTCATCGTAATTTGCATTGTTTCCACGCGTCGCGTACCATGAGAGTCGTTGGGATAAAAGCCCAACAAGGTTCGCGATCCAGACTGGATTTAGGAAGAAAGTCTTGATCAATGAGGATGCAGTAGTCTTTTCTGTAACTTTCCTGGCGCATGATCAGTCACCTACCCCCCACTTATGGTACTTTGCACATAGTAACTACAATTCCCACTAGTCTGGCCGGCTTCGGCGGCTGGGAGAGAACCAACTTCTCCGAGTTCTACTTGAGATATCGCTCTCAGAGGCATCGGTGGTCAAATGAACACGATATATTCCTTACAAAATAACTTTCTCAACTGCACAGAGGCAGAGATCATCCGGCGACCTCGTAGAAGCTAACTCTGGCGGTGACATTGTTCCTGCAGGCTCTGCAAGTTGCATGCTTCCGGAAGGAAACTATGTCTTCAGAGGCGACGACGGCGTCCAAATAGAATTTGAAGGGTTTTGACACTTCCGCTTGAGGTTTGAGGCTTTTTGTCGTCAAGAATACACTTCGAAAAAATGAAGGAAGTTAATCTTCAGACAAAGGAATATCGCAACCTCTTTCAAACTTGTGTAGACTCTCTGCTACACGCCAGGACGAAGGATTTCATCTGTGTCATAGATGACACGGAGAGCTTGATGCCCTCGGATCTGAAGTGTCGCGCCAAGTATCCATTCACGGGTAATTGCGAAGCTAACACCCCAGCGTATACACAAATAGACCTCGGATAGATGCGACAGGACCTAGGATCGAGTAGGGCCTGAAAGCCATGCCGCAACTTTGGTTTTTGTCTAAACCAATCATGGTGCAGGATGCTTAACGCATCCGCAACGAAAAGCGGCAGTCAGCACTTGGTAAGCCGAAGAATTAAACGTCTGTTAATGCGACCTTTCTTAAATGGAAATTCAACAGGCAAGTCTGACCGCTTGGACGAAAGCAAAGATCCCCCATTACAGAATATAAGTCTGATACCATGAAAAGTTGCTCTGCGAGTCTTGTCACCTTTCTAGACCGTTAGGAGGGACAAGTTCCGGCGACTCCGCAGCATAGCTTCGCCAGACGACGTCTGAAAACTAGAACACGCCACAATTTTCAGCAGAGCGGTACGGACCCCGTAGAGTCCAACACATGGGAGAGCTTTGCCACCGCCCCGGCTTACAATTGCCGCTGCAATTCCACCGAGCGTCGGCGGCACACATGACAGAAACAGACAGTACGCATAGGAAGT